GAGTGAAGAGCCCGAGCGAGGGCGGGGGGGGGGGGGGGTGGTGGAGCGGCCTATCCCAGACCTGCGCACTCGGACCAAGATGGCGGCGGCGGCCCTCCTGGGCTGGGGAGCTGCGGCGGCTGCCGCGGGGCTGCGGAGGCGGTAAGTGGTGAGCCCGGGGCTGCGTATAGCGGTGCCGCTGGGCTTAGCCAGCAGAGCGGTCGCCTCCCCGCCCGCCCTCCCTTACACCAGATGGGGAGAAGTGCCCCTGACCTTGCCTTTGGGTCCACCCCCATCGCCGAAGTTGGGGGTTTAAACCCTGAGGTGGGCAGCTCTCGGTGAGGCAGCTCTGCGACCCGGTTCTGGCGGGCCCTGCCGGCCTTGTCCCAGGCTCCGAGACTCGGTGCCTGAGTCCCTGTGGTGGGGAGACTCTCAGAGACCGGCTGTAGGGACCCCACAGAGGAGCTGTTTTTAAATCGGGGCCCCTCCAGCCCCTCCACCCCGTGCCAAAATCAGAACGTCAAAATGTCACTCATTTTCTTAGTGAGGCCTACCTAGAAGGGGAACGTGACCTATCTGAAGTCACACAGCATCTAAGTGCTGGAACTCTAGATTTCCGCGCCCCACCCACCAAACCCACTCCGTTCCCTTGTCTTTCCTCTTTCCATTGGCCCTGTTTTTGCGTTTGGCTTCCCAGGGACATCTGTTAACACTGGTTAGGTGAAAGGCACTGAGGACGTTAAGTAGATTGTTGTACCCTGGTTTCTCTTATGGGACAAAAGGAGAAAAGGGCCTAACAAGGGTTGACCTCCTGAGTGTTTGTTAGGGGTTTTAGTGCTAATGATGCTCTTGACGTTGAAATGCGTTTCCTAAAATAATGAGGTTTGCAGAAGGATTTTTTGTTAGTCACCTCCTGTCTCCCTCTCTTATTTTTGAGTAGATGTCTTCCTGGAATAATTTAACTCACCTTTACTATTTTATTACTCTAAACCCATCTCCGTCAGAATGTGTATCCATTCTGCCTCTTCCGTGGGCTGAAAGGAAATTTCCGTATTCCAGGTGTAGTTCCGTCCTCGGTGTACTTCCATATTGCAGGGTATCCAAGATTTAGGCAGTGTGCTATAGATAAAAATGCTTTCACCCCAAACCTGAATTCCATTTAATGAATGATTGTTGGGCACCTGTCACATACTAATAATAGTGGTAGCTAACATTTATTGAACACATGCTACATGGCCTAGCACTGTTGTAAGCACTTTACATGGATTATCTGGATCCATGTTTGCTCCAGTCTTTATGAGTTAGCGGTGAATATTAACTTCATTTTAGAAATGAGGAACTGAGGTAGGTCATCGTGCTCGTGGCTAGGGACAGCAATGAAGACAGTCCCTCCTCTTTATGAGTTTGCAGGTTGAAAATAATCAGAGAAACGTACAAAACAAAAAGTGATCATAAATATGCTTAAAATTCCTCAGTGACTCCTGTGAAATGAAAATTGGAGTGGATGGCAATAGTATTTTAACGTAAATTGCATTTTCATGTAACTTGCATCCGATTTCTAAAATTTTTCACTAGTAACATCTCCTTTTGTTTACTTTTCTAGTAGTATTTGGTTTTCCCTTCTCCCTTTGTTTTTAATTAGTCAAATCCATGGAAAAAAAAAAAAAATCCAGTCAACACTTTGGAAGTTTTGTAACTTTGGTTATTTCATTCTGATGATATTCAGAGTAAAATAACCAAAGTTACAAAGCAGCATCAGTATGTTTCCAGTCAGAAAGCACATATAGACTGTTGACTTCTTTAGCAGTTTGGTGGAGAACAGTATATTTTCTATTAGACTTTTGGAGGTATTGAAATGCCTTTCAAAACAAATAGCGTAGGTTGTCTCTTTCCACGGAAACATGGTGGTAGAGAGAAAAGGAGGGAGACTTTTCACTGTATTTACTTTTATTCCCTTTGAATTTTGAACCATGTGACTCTATCACCTAGTTGTTTTTAAATCTAAAATGGGAAAAACAGTTTGTAGCTCTTTGCCTCCTTCATGCATACCCAAGAGTCTGGAACTCCAGGTTATAAATCACTAATGTAGATGCATTTCTGTTTCTTTACACCAGATATTGTATATTCTATATACACTCAGTTATAAAGGCTCTAAATCTCCCCTTGAGCTCTTGTTTTTAAATTGTTTGTAGGTATTGCTTGTGTGAGGGAGTGGAAATAATGTTGCGGATGGAAAATGAAAATTCATCTTTGTTATTATTTTCATTATGGTTGTTTTATATATGAGAAGTAGAAACTTGAGCTTAAGAGATTATCTCTTAAAATGTCATTTTTATTTGTTTTTAAATGTAGATTCTGTCATATGATGAATCCATATACCATTAAGAAACAGCATCTGCATCAGTTTGTCCAGAGACCACTTTTCCCACTCCCTGCAACCTTATGTAACACAGGTAAAATTTCATCTCTTTTAGAGCAAACTGCCTGAATGAAATTTTGTGGGTCATAAACAATGAGAATTTGTAAATTTTCTATTCAGATGCCTATAAAAAGAATATAGCGTTTTTTTCTGCCATAAATTACACTTTACTATAATTATTTGCTTACACATATCATTTGACCTTAAATTTCAAGAATCCTGAATACAGTGTCCAGTACTTCTATGAAATCTCAGTTTCTTGTGTAACATATCTTCTGGAACATAAGAGTTGCTCAATGAATGATTTCTGAAACAAAAATATAGAAAGAAGTTACAAATGGGTTTGTGTTTCAAAGAATCATATGTATTTTAAGCGATTGCCCTCCTTATTTTGATAAGAATACCTCTAAAATCAGTAAGTTTCTAGCTTTCACCCAGGCCTTAGGACATATTACTTTGAATGTAGTTTTTCTTTTTTTGACAACATTAATCACTATGGTTTTGTTGACAGTCTTGTTGATGTTACCTGCTTTTATTTTCTTTAATATTGGAAATAAGTATGAAGATAGGATTTGAAAATTTTTGCAATATGACCACTGTCATGTGGTTAGGGAACCTTGTCGGGGAGGGTGTGTCTATGTGTGTCTGTCTGTCTGTGAATGCCTACCTATATGTGCTTATGGAGCTGTAAGAATTGGGATTCAGCTCTTGGCCCACCTCCATTTCCATCACTACCTTGAACTCCTGCTTGTGGCCATGCTACTCTGGAAGGTGGCTAACCCTGGCTAATGCCATGAGTTGGATCAGGGTAGAGACCTTACCTCCCCTGTATCCTGGGGCAAGAACAGGAGTGCCGTTCCTGTCTCCTTGAGTCACAGAACAATTTAGGCATAAAATATTGAGTAACTCAGCATCTTAAGCTACTTTAATTAGACTTTTAAATTTTGTAGAACTGAATTATGTGGTCATCTAGGCTTTTCAGATTGGAAACCTGCTGATTTTAGTCTTTGATATTGACTTCAAGCACCATTAATTTATATTTGAGGGGGAGCTTATGCCTACCTTTTTATCTGTTACCTATTATACCAAGCATAATAGGAAAGATTATTTTACAAGCGTCTTTCTCTCCTGTTGTAACCGTTATGACACTTTCAGAGGATCTTTCTGGATGATGGATCTGAGAGTCATTTTTGAAATACCTAATTTAACGCAGTTTAGGCTATGACTGGAATGATTTTGTTAATACCTAGTCAAATTACTTTTTTTGAAATACCTTTGTTCATTGTTAAAATTTATGTAGTGATATCATATATTATCATATTTTCTATTTCAGACATATGTAGATTATACTCTCAAATAATTTTTTACATTTATAGTTCTTCAAGTGTTTCTAAACATTTTTCTTTCTGCATGTATAGTTTTACACAAATGGACTGAGTAGAATAAAGCCAGATTTAATTCTTCAAATATTGGTGGAGTGCCTAATATGTGCAGAGATTTTGGTTACCAATAAATTATTAAGAAAGGCCACAAAGATGATTGGTCAGAGCCAGGGTTAAAAGAACCTTGTTTTCTGTATATTTACAGAAAGTGGCGGCAGCACTTTATATAATGTTCCATCTGAAAAATTGTTCCCTTATAGTGCAGATTGTCCGAGGAATGTATTGGTTGGAAGTATAAATATTTTAAATCAAGTACTTTAACACTGAGGTTATCATTTTTCATTTTTTTCTTTTTTAGGATTCGCTTGGTCACCAAGTCACCAACTAATATCTTTACAGGACAGTGACCTAAGCAAAACGTATGGGAATTTAGTTTCAGTTTCTACTTTACCAAGGAAATGACTCAATATCAGTTAGCTGGAACTGCACGGCGAGGTGCAAAAACAACCTCAGCTGTCAAATTAGAATCTTCTCTTTTAACAGTTAAGAAAAGCATTTTTATACCAACCATATGTTTTGCCAAATTTAATCTCTTTCTAATTTAAAATAAAACTGTTGTTTTTTGATACTTTACTCTTTCTTAAGATATGTGATATGAGGATTATGATAGGATAGAAAGACTGATCTTAAGTATATTTTTCTTTTATGCTTGGCACTAATAGTTATGGAGTGGTAGTATGCACAATGGTTAAACAAGTCAGTGCTGGAAAATTGGCCAGGCTTGAATCATGGCTCTGTCACTTAACTAGCCGAGTGACTTTGAGCTTTAGTTTCCTCATTTATAAATTAGGATAAAAACAGTGCCTCCTTGGCAGGATGTAAGGATTAAATGATATAATTCACATAAAGTGCTTAGCACCATGCCCAGCACATGATAATTACTCGATAAATTAACTTATTTCCAGATACTGCTCTAAGAAGAGAATTGGGTGGTGGTTTTTTTTTTGTTTTGTTTTTTTTAAGTCAGAAGGTTTATTTTCATAATAAGTAACCAGAGCCTGTTTAATAGTTTTAAACTGTTAAAACCTCAGTACTGTCTTTTTGTCCTATGAGCTGTTATCATAATAGCAAGGTAGGAAATTAAAGATTCTTTTATTCTCAATCTGATCATGGCCCTAGAAGGAACAGAGAAGAAAAAAATCTCTAAAGATAATTTTTTTTTTTTTTGCGGTATGCGAGCCTCTCACTGTTGTGGCCTCTCCCGTTGCGGAGCACAGGCTCTGGATGCGCAGGCTCAGCGGCCATGGCTCACGGGCCTAGCCGCTCCACGGCATGTGGGATCTTCCCGGACCGGGGCGCGAACTCGTGTCCCCTGCATCGGCAGGCAGACTCTCAACCACTGCGCCACCAGGGAAGCCCTCTAAAGATAATTTTAAAATATTCTAGAAAGTAATTCACATAGATTCCCACCTACATGATCATTTATAATGTCATTAACTCTATACCTTTGGACAAGTTACTTAACTCTTAGTGACTTAACAAGTTACTTATCTCTAAGGCTCAGTTTCTTCATTTGTAAAATGGGAACAGTAATACATTCTTCATAGGATTGTTAAAGGCTTAAATATATATAAAGCACTCAACCGTGTCTCTGAAATGTAATAAGTAAGCATAAAATAAATATCATTTGTTATTATTATAAATTTATTTATCTTTAAAAAATGTTAGCACTTTGGAACGTGATGATGATTTATTATTATAGCTAATTTAGTATTGAGTTACCAAATAGAATCCATCTAAGACTCCTGAATTATGATATGCCTTACTACTTACGTGTAGGATATTGCTAGAATCTGTTGAGTAACAAAACTATCTAAATAAATAGTATTAATATAAAATTCAGTGAAGTCACCCTAAATATTTTGATAAATTTTTTGCTTAACAATTCTTATTCTGTAAGCTTGGGCAATAAAGCTTTATATTCCTTTTTCTAATTTTCCGTATTTCTTTTGGTTCTCTGAAAATGAGTGCTTCGTAGTCCATAAACTTGTTAACAATTTTTTTCTAGAATAACGTTCTTTCTTTTTTCTCTTTTAGTGAGATACATGTTTATTCAAACACAAGATACCCCAAATCCCAACAGTTTAAAGTTTATTCCAGGAAAACCAGTTCTTGAGACAAGGACCATGGATTTTCCCACACCAGCTACAGCATTTCGCTCCCCTCTGGCTAGGTATAGTATTATTTTTAACTTGCTTTTACCAAGAAACATAAATAACTGACTTCGGGGGTTAAGGTAGCCTTATTTAACTATTTTACTTTTATGTGCATTGCATCTTTTCAGTATAGAGATTATTTTCTATAATAATAATGAGAGATAAAGAAAAATAAGAATTGATATTAGGAAATCCTTCTCCTGAAAAGGGATGTACTTAAGAGATCTGCAGCATGACTAAATAAGAATTTATATTTTTCCTTTTAAAATATCTATCAAAATGATAATATGGCAGGACTTACCTGGTGGTCCAGTGGTTAAAACGCCACGCTTCCAATGCAGGAGGTGTGGGTTCGATCCCTGGTTGGGGAACTAAGATCCCACATGCCACGTGGCCAAAAAAAAAAAAAAAAAAAGAAAAAAATGAGGCAGATATCCATTCTAAATCTTTAAAACCCTGTTTTTAGAAAACAATAAAAACATGATCATTTTATTCTCAAGGATAGCTGGATTTCTAGATGTTTCAAAATGGAATAGTTTCTAAAATATTCCTCTCAGAACTATAAATGATAATAGTTATCAGATGTGGCATGATTTTTTTAATAAACTAGTGAGTGGTGACAGTTTTTATTTTTATTTATTTTTTTATTGAAGTATAGTTGATTTACAATATTGTGTTAGCTTGAGGTGGATAGCAAAGTGATTCAGTTATTTTTCTTTCCAGATTATATTCTATTATAGTTATTAAAAGATACGGAATATAATTCCCTGTGCTATGTAGTAGATCCTTGTTGCTTATCTATTTTAGGTAGTCCTTATCTAATCTGTTAATCCCATACTCCTAATTTGTCCCTCCCTCTCTTTCCCCTTTGGTAACCCTAAGTTTGTTTTCTGTGTCTTTGAGTCTGCTTCTGTTTTGTATATAGATTCATTTGCATTATTTTTTAGTTTCCACATATAAGTGATATCATACAGTATTTGTCTTTTTCTGTCTGACTTACTTCATTAAGTATAATATTCTCTAGGTCCATCCATGTTGCTGTAAATGGCATTATTTCATTCTTTTTAATGACTGAGTAATATTCCATTGTACATGTGTACCACATCTTCTTAAGTCAATTGTCTGTTGATGGGCACTTGGGTTGTTTCCATGTCTTGACTATTGTAAATAGTGCTGCTGTGAATACTGGGGTGTGTGTATCTTTTGGAATTAGAGTTTTCATTTTTTCTGGATATATACCGAGGAGTGGGATTGTTGGATCATACGATAGCTCTATTTTTAGTTTTTTAAGGAACCTCCATACTGTTTTCCGTAGTGGCTGCACCAATTTATATTCAGTGGTGACAGTTTTAAAATTCACTAAAGACATGTTAAGTGTATGTCTAATGATAAAACACAAACAATAAAATTATAAAACCCCTTTTTAACTGATAGCTAGAGAAGTTATTTATAATAAGAAATGTTAGGTCAATCACATCAACTGAAATTTTTGGTAACCTACGACTGATACTGATTGCCAAGGATACTGGGAAAATAAAACTTAGATAACTATTTCTGTATACATACAGCCATTTAATGTGTCTCATTTAGGGGAGCCAGGAATATGCTTATCTCAGTAATCGTTTTTAAAGTTTCTAATTAATAAATATGCATATTTCCTTTGACCTAAACATACCACTTCTTGGAATATATCTTAGAGCATTTGTTTTTTATACTTTTTAATACAAGCCACAGTAATAAACTTTTTTTTTTTAACATCTCTATTGGAGTATAATTGCTTTACAATGGTGTGTTAGTTTCTGCTTTATAACAAAGTGAATCAGCTATTAAACATCTTATATTATGACTCGCTATATACATACACACATATACATATGCAGATATACATAAATATGTACATATATGTATGTATATATAGGTAGGAAACAAGTGTTTGATGGGGCAATTTTCGCCTTTATAAGGTATAAAATATTCTTTTTTTTAATATATTTATTATTATTATTATTTTTTTGCGGTACACAGGCCTCTCACTGTTGTGGCCTCTCCTGTTGTGGAGCACAGGCTCTGGACGCACAGGCTCAGCGGCCATGGCTCACGGGCCCAGCCGCTCCACGGCATGTGGGATCTTCCCGGACCGGGGCATGAACCTGTGTCCCCTGCATTGGCAGGCCACTGTGCCACCAGGGAAGCCCTATAAATTTATTTTTTATTTATTTGTTTTTGTTTGCATTGGGTCGTCATTGCTGCGTGCAGGCTTTCTCTAGTTGTGGCAAGTGGGGCTGCTCTTTTTTGCGGTGCACAGGCTTCTCATTGTGGTGGCTCCTCTTGTTGCGGAGCACGGGCTCTAGGTGCGCGGACTTCAGTAGTTGTGGCACATGGCCTTAGTAGTTGTGGCTTGCGGGTTCTAGAACGCAGGCTCAGTAGTTGTAGCACACTGGCTTAGTTGCTCCGCAGCATGTGGGATCTTCTCGGACCAGGGATCGAGCCCGTGTCCCCTGCATTGGCAGGCGGATTCTTAACCACTGCGCCACCAGGAAAGTCCCTAAAGCATTCTTATATTTCTTTCTTGTGCTTTTTATCTTATTCTGTTCTGTTTTATTTTATTAGATAAAATCCTGGTCAATATATAATTGATTTTACAACTCACTGGTGGTTTTGAAAAACACTACCTTAGAGAACAGCCACATATATACATAAGAAGTGTGCAAGTATGTTCATTGTAGCCTTGTTGGTAATGGCAGTAAGTTAGAAACAACCTAAACATTCATCAGTAGGAAGAGTTAGATAAACTTTGTTCGTCCATAGTATGCATGGGCAAACAATAAAACAATAAAAAGGATGAGGCGGACATACTGTTATTGAAGAAAGCAAGTTGCAGAACAATGAATACATTATGATTATTATGTGTATGAAAACAAAAAACACAAAACAACAAAAATGTGCTGATAAAGAGGTCTGGAGGAATGTACACGAAACTGATAACAGTGATTTGGGAGGGGTGGTCAAGAGGCATTTTCACTCTCTATGTATAGTTTGAAATGTTTACATCAAGTACAAGCTCACATATTTTGTATTTAAAAAAATGTAAAAATAGGGGCTTCCCTGGTGGCACAGTGGTTGAGAGTCCTCCTGTCGATGCAGGGGACACGGGTTCGTGCCCCGGTCCGGGAAGATCCCACATGCCACGGAGCGGCTGGGCGCATGAGCCATGGCTGCTGAGCCTGCGCGTCCAGAGCCTGTGCTCCACAGTGGGGGAGGCCACAACAGCGAGAGGCCCGCATACCGCAAAAAAAAAAAAAAAAAAAAAAAAAAAAAAAAAAAAAAAAAAAAAAAAAAGTAAAAATATAAAAGCCCAAACTGATTCAGTTACAGATTAGTTCTGTCAGATGTTCAGTTGGCAAAAATCCCCATTTCTCCGGTTTACAGAATTTATTATCTTCAGTCAGCCTTGTTTTTGTTGTTTAGCAGAGAATGTTTTTACTGTAAGGTAGAACGTAAGCTTCATGGGGATGGAAACCAGTCTGTTCTGCTCGTTGTTGTATCCCTAGTGCTTAGTACAGTATCTGCTACTCAGCAAGTATTCAAGTACTAGTTGAATGAATGAATAAAGAGTAATGTATCTTCCTTCAGGGAGGCATTTGACATGTTTCTTCCTGTCCTTGTAGACAAGACAAAGAAATGTAAGCAGAGGGTAAACCTGTCTCTGGGGACATGTAAAAGGGCTCTGAATCCTTGTAGTTGGCATGTTTATTCAGGACTTCTTTAAAATCAGCAACATTAATAAAGGTATAATTATCTGTTTTTCAGATGAGAGGATTTGCTTATCGGTTGGATGGCAAAATTCAGAGACATTTTCGAAAGTTTTATTAGGCTTAAAGCAAATAAGATAAAAGTATAACAGAAATAAATATTAAGCCGTGTGTTTAAATTTTTTAAATGAATAGCACAATTATGGGATAGAAGAACCTGACCTTTCAGTTAGTCATGCTGGATATGATGCAATGCTCAAGTCAGTCCAACTTGAACAGAGTTCTAGTGTCCAGCCTAAGAGAGGTAATAGTCTTTGTGCTCTGAACAAGTTCGACTACATTTGGGACAGTGTTTTCAGTTCTGGGTATCATATTTTGTTTTGGACGTTGACAAGTTGAAATTGTCCCAAGGAAAATAACCTAAATAAAGCATGTATAATAATGTTTGAAACTCCTGTTTCCGCTTTTTCTTTCTTTTAGGGACAAAACCTGTGAACTCTTCCCTAAAGCAGTCTCCATGATATGGACCATAGATCAGGTGTATTCCTTTGCACAGTCCTTTCATTTGGGAAAAAAAAAAGCTTTGCTGTTAGTGCTAATCAAGGGTCCTACTTAAAGGTCTGTGCTTTGGTTTATGGATCATAAGCTGCAGCCAAAAATCTTGTGACCACTTGCAAATTTAACATGAAGTGGTTGTGTAAAGGACTTAGATGACGTAGTTTCAGACAAATTCCTAAATAATTTAAAAGCAGTAATTTTGATAGCATTCTTGCAATGGTAGACAAAGAAAAGGAAACTGTAACCTTCTTTGGATTATGTCAGCTTTTGTTCCTAAGGCTGGGAAAAAAGAAACTGCTTTAGAGAGTCTGCTAGGTGTGGTACATAATGTCAGTGATTGGGGAAGGAAGCTGTAATTCAAAATTCCTTGAAGGGCTTTTTCAAATTATAATCTGCCCTTCGTCCTCTGACAGGATTTTTAAAAATTAGCTTTACTGAAGTATAATTTACGTGCAATAAAATTCACCAATTTTAAGGTTTTCTTGTGTAACCACCAAGAAAATAAAAATATAAAACATTTTTGTCACTGTAAAAGATCCCTCATTTCCCTTTGCTTTCAGTCTCCTCTTGCTTCACCTCCACACCCTGCTAACTTTCTTTTTATGGCGATGACTTTTAATTTTTAAATTTTTATTAAAAAACGTTTTTTCCAGCTTCTGTGAGATGTAATTGACATAAAGCATTGTTTAAGTTTAAGGTATACAACATGATGATTTGATATACATATACATTGTGAGATGATTACCATAGAAAGGTTAGTTAACACATCTGTCACCCTGACAGCTATTGATATTCTTTACACCACTGCAGTTTTGCCTTTTCTAGAGTTTCATATGAATGGAACCAGATAGTCTTTTGTGTTTGGCTTCTTTGATTTAGTATAATGATTTTGAGAGTCATCCTTGTCCTTGTGTGGATCTATAGTTCATTGCTCTTTATTGCCAAGTAATACTACATTGTATGGGTATTCCCAGTTTGTTTAGTCATTCCTCAGTAGATGGACATTTCCAGATTTTTTTGTTTTTGGTATTGTAAATAAAGCTGCTATAAAGATTCATGTGCAGGGCTTCCCTGGTGGTGCAATGGTTAGGAATCCGCCTGCCAGTGCAGGGGACATGGGTTCGGGCCCTGGTCTGGGAAGATCCCACGTGCTGCGGAGCAACTAAGCTGTGTGCCACAACTACTGAGCCTGCGCTCTAGCGCTTGCAAGCCACAACTACTGAGCCCGCGTGCCACAAGTTCTGAAGCCTGCGTGCCTAGAGCCCGTGCTCCACGGCAGGAGAGGCCACTGCAGTGAGAAACCCGAGTGCCGCGGTGAAGAGCGGCCCCGCTCGCTGCAACTCTAGAGGACCTGCGTTCAGCAACGAAGACCTGAAGCAGCAAAAATAAATAAATAAATTTAAAAAAAGAGATTCACGTGCAAGTCTTTATGGAGCATACGTTTTCATTTCTCTTGGGTATATAACTAGGAGTGGGATTGCTGGATCGTAGGGTAAGAGGATGAAACAAGATTGGCCATGATTTGCTAATTGTTGAAACTGGTGATGACTGTGTGGAGGTTCTTTTACATTTCTCTCTACTTTTATGTATATTGTAGACCAGGGGTTCCCAACCCCCGGTCCTCGGCCTGTTAGGAACCGGGCCGCACAGCAGGAGGTGAGCTGTGGGCAACCGAGGGAAGCTTCATCTGCCGTTCCCCATCGCTCCCCATCACTCACATTACCACCTGAACCTTCCCCACCATCACTTGCATTACTGCTGGAACCATCTCCTACCCCCCGCCCCCATCTGTGGAAAAATTAACTTCCGCGAAACTGGTCCCTGCTGCCAAAAAGGTTGGGGACTTCTGTTGTAGACTTTTCCATAATAAAACATTTTATTATCTCTTTTCTAAAATTTTTTCACAGACAGTTATTTAGGATTGAAGGAGTAAAAAGTGTCTTCTTTGGACCAGATTTCATCACTGTCACAAAGGTAAGCATAGGATTATGTAAAATAAGATGTGACATACTTTTAGTTTTGTCTGAGTCCAGTGCCCCTCTCCAGAATATCCATTCTTGATGTGTTCTACACACACTGTTATTAAAAATCTCAAATTTTACTTCTCACATTTCCCAACTTAATTATTTAATAGAATTTTCAAGTTGAAATTAACTATAGTCCAGATCCCTCATTTTTCAAAAGAGAAAAACTTGAGCTTCAGAGAGTTAAATATGGTGTCCAAGATTGTATAGGTAGCCTCCAGCAGGACCAAGACTCAACCTTGGCAGGACTAAAATTTAGGCTTCTAAGTATAATTTTTACTAATTGTTAATTTACATTGATAGAGTAAAAAGAAGCAAATAAATGATCAAATATATATACATTTGGCCTACAGAATGATTACCTGTCTCCTTTCAAAATCAGCATTTATAAAATGGCATCACACATTCTGCCAGCCTACCATCCTACAATAACACTTCAGAGCTTCACAGACAAGAGCAGTGGATTGTGTACTTCCGCAACACTTGGATAACCTCTTAATGTCAAAAAATCAAGCTAAATATGCTACCCATCCAACATCTAAGGTCATATTAGCTAGAAAAGACTGTTTCATTTTTAAGTCTACTAGATTAATGGGAAATGAACCATATAAATTTGAACTATACTTATTCTTTTAAATCTGTAATTGATATGTATGCATTGAACTTAATCACTTGCCCAATTTTGCATCAAAATCAAAAGTATTCAATTAGCTCCTCTTAAGCAGTTTGAAAGGATTACTCTTGAGTTCTTGCTGCACCACGAAAGGGGACATACTGAGTTATCAACATGTTACATCTAGTCTAGTATTCTCTTGCAGCTGTGTATATGAGGAGGAGAATGAGGATTTTCTTCCATGCTGGCGATCCCAGTGGCTATGGTTGTTCACACAAATATCCGGATTATAAAATGTTCTTCCCGGTTGTTTAAAGTGTTATTTGTTCTAAATTCTCAGAAAGCCCTTTCTTGACCATATTACTGAAAGGGGTAACTCCCCGCAGGTGCTTATTACCTTATTTTTCTTCATTACACTTATGTCTTAATGATATTGTTTATTTTTATTACCTTTCTTTCCTGCACTAGAATGTAAACTCCATGAAGATAAAGATAGTCCATCTTGTTAAGCTCACCTACAACAATGCTTAGCACATAGTATGCATTCAAAGAAATTTTTATAGAAGGAAACAATGATGTAAAATTTCCTAAATTGAATTTTCAGGCTTCAAGTGGTTTCCCCCAAATGTAGGATTGTGGTGAGCAAATGTGTGCTCACCAATCTCTAGTCTTTACTTGTTTATAGACATTTGACCTCTCTTTGTTATTCTTCAGTTTTCTTTCTTTTTTAATTTAATTTAATTTAATTTTTATTTTTGGCTGTGTTGGGTCTTCGTTTCTGTGCGAGGGCTTTCTGTAGTTGCGGTGAGCGGGGACCACTCTTCATCACAGTGCGCGGGCCTCTCACTGTCGCGGCCTCTATTGTTGAGGAGCACAGGCTCCGGACGCGCAGGCTCAGTAGTTGTGGCTCACAGGCCTAGTTGCTCCGCGGCATGTGGGACCTTCTCAGACCAGAGCTTGAACCCGTGTCCCCTGCATTGGCAGGCAGATTCTCAACCATTGTGCCACCAGGGAAGCCCCCCAATTTTCTTTCTTTGATATTTTTTGAAGGAGAAAAAAGGACCAGCATTGCCAACATGTTTGATGTGGCACTAGTGCTTTACATATGTTACCTATTTTAATTCTTTTTAAACCATTTCTAAATTGAAGTATAGTTAATTTACAGTGGTTTTTTTTTTTTTTACTTTTTAAAAATTTAATTCTTATAACTAGTTTTTCTTGTCTTCATTTTACAAATAGGAAATTATGTATTTTAAGAAGTTTTTATTTCTTTTACATATAGCCTATGCTATATAAATTTTTTGTTGGGGGGGATGAAAATGTGATTATAGCTTACAAAGGTTTTCTTTTTTCCTTGACTTGATTTTGGTAAGTCATCTTTTATTTCCCTTTCCCTTTGTAATTTAGTTACCCTTTTTGAAATTTCTCCAGCTCCATTATTTTTTCTTAATGAAATGATATAACCAATAAATAATATTCCAAGTTAGGGCACACATTGATATTTAATAGATAGACTAGTAGATTGATGTGCTTTCTTCCAATTACCTTCCTCATCACGGACTATCCCATTTACCTGATAGCTTCAGTGATTGCCTGTTTCCCTTTCTAACTTGTAATTGATAATTCACAGGCTTCTTTATGCATCTTTTTTTTCCTAAATGTATATTTGCAGCTTATATGCTGCCTTTTTCTCATTCAGATAACTTCATAATATTTTTTTTTCTTTTAATACCAATATTTTTTTTCTTTTAATACCAATACTCAGTAGAGCCCACTACTTACTGAAGCTCTAAGGTAGCCCTCTGATCCATCTTCCAAATAATGTATTAAAATGTTACCTAGAAGTAGTACTCATTACCAATCACTAAGGCGTCTCACTAATTTTGTTTTTGTATTCATAGTAGTGCCTGTTTTACCTTTTGTGTACTGTCTCTAAATTGGTTCTTAATCCATGACAAAAATAGATCCGTTTGTATATGAAGACTCAGTTTTTAATAGTATTTAAGCATAGACCCTAGCTAACAGCTTCCTGAGAATCTAAATAGACTGCCTCTAATAGCTTTTCTCCTAAAGATCTCTCCTTTAAAAAATTAAAACAAAACACGCTGCCTTTCTCATTTTAGATGTTAGTACTATTTGGGTACTATCTCTCTCTTTTTTTTTTTATGTAATCAATTAGTTGGCCAGATATAGAAGTGAAATAGTTATGGATTCTTTCTTATGGATACCAGTCTAATTGATGGTCCACAAGTCCTCTAGTACAGTAGCTGTAGATAATACACATTATACTTATGGTTCAACAGTTATGTCATTGGGTTTCTTCAATACCATTAAGTGATATACGTAAGTTGAATTTTTTTGAATAGTCGTGGGATATCCTGTATAGTTCATCAAGCAGTTATATCCTATTTTATTAAAAGAATGGGAAGCCTCTTTATTACCCTCTTTAAACACAGAATCCATTCAGTATTTTAACTCTCTTCACCTCATGAAAAAATATCTTTTAGTCATTTTGGTATCCCCTCTACAGGGCATGTACATACAGCACACTTATTTGATGAATGAATGAATTGGGGGATGTTCTAAGATTGTATCATCTAAAAGTCATTATAAGGCAACTCCTTTAGGAACAGTGACTGACATATATTTTCCAGAAATGAGTGCTATAGAATATATATAGGGAAA